CCTCCGGGTTGTTGCCCATAAAGAACTCTCCGTTGTCATGGAAATTAGTGACTGCTAAGCGGTAGGGAGGGGGTCCGGGGGCAGTTGGGAGGGGCTGGAGGGGGCTCTGTGAGCGGGGAGGGACAGCTCAACCCTCGGCCCCTGCCCTCATGGGGCACCACGAATCTTCGAGCGTTAATGTTCTCACAATTCGGAGCCGCAGGGGCTTCCCCGGGACCCCCGAGCTGTCCGAGGTAATGGGGAACTTTAGTACGATCCCACATGCCGCCCCCCCCGGACCTGCAGAGCCCGCGCGCTCAGCCCCCGCCAGGACGCTAAGCCCTCTCAGCGCCCCCGCGCACTCTGCGTCCCGAACCTCAAGCCAGGTAAACAATCCCCAAGGTCCCCCAACGTGTGTTCGGGAACCCCCTACCCCGGTCCGCACCTGCAGCGTCAGTCGGTCACACGGAGGAAGCGATCGCGGGCTCAGCGGGGCGCCGAGGGCTCGGGGGGCGGCGGGCAGAATCCGCTCCGGGCACGCGGTGCAGACGCGGCGCCAGATGCAGCCGCTTCGGCTCGCAAACCTCCAGCATCGCCAGCCGCTCGCAGGCTTCGGATTCGCACCCCGGGCCGGGGGCGGGCTGGGGGCGGGGCCTCCCAGCCCGCCCCGCCCCACCCTGGCGGAGCCTGAGGCCGGAATCCCGCTCGAGGGTGGGCTCATGTGGAGTGGCAGCGGGGCTGGTGAGCACTGGCCTGCCCGGCCTTAGCCTGGCTCTCAACTGCTTCCTTAGGCCCTTGGACTTCCGACCCGGCTGCAGGAGCCAGGGGGGTCTTCCTATGCCTGATGTAGGGGATAGGGAGTGGGTAGTTGGACAAACGCCTGAGTCCTGGAGCTGCACAGGAGTCTTGGCAAGCAGTAGTCTCGAGGGACTAGGGCTCTGCCCATCTCACCAAACCTGACCCAAGGGGCAGGGACCCACGTACAGGAACAATGTGGGCAGTTGCTAGAACAGGCTGCCCTACAGACTGCATCCTCTAGCTAGGAGCAGTAAATACACAGGGGTGTGTTTCTGTAAGTGGTCAGGGTTAACACGGTGAGGGCCCCAAACCCTGGTGGCAGAGCTTCCTATCCCATTTACCCCCAACTTCTGCAAGGCCAAAGTCTTTCCCAACCATGTCTCAGCCAGGGTGGCTGGCCCAGTATGCCCCCTCCTGTGTGGCACCAAATTTCCCACACTATAAAAGTCACATGTGACATGGTATGGACTCTTCCCAGTCTAATTACTCTCAAACACCTCATGAGTAGGATCACCCTAGGTAGCCTGGGCTGGGATATGAAGACAGAACTGTAGCGCCAAGGTGCCCCACCAGATCTGGGCCCTGACTGGAGGGAGGAAGTTCAGAATTGCTAGGAAGAAGCTTTGAGGGTAGTTCTTGGCCATTTCTCTGTCCTTTGTCAGTGAAGCACATGGACCCAATGCCTGCCTTGCTCCCCTCACCAACCCTGAGGACTATACCGAGGCCAGTATCTGAACGCCTCTCAGTTTCTGGATCTGAGCTCCATCCCACCTCTCCCCTCCCAGTGAGCCTTGTGACCCTGTCCTAGTGGGGTGGTGGGGGGGTAGTCATCCCCAACCACGCAGCAATGTTGAGTGAGGCTCCCCTGCATGGCTACCCATGGCTGATGACAGGAGGGGCTGTCTAAGTGAAGAAGTTGGGGCTGGGGCTGGAACTGGATGGCTAGCCTGGGAAATGACTGCTTCAAACAAGGCCCCTTAATATCTTTCTCCAAAAGGGGTGTTGAGGAGCCCTTCACATTCTTCTCTGGCTTTGGGTCACCTCCTCCAGTCCAGGCTGGTGCTGCCTCTGGGCTTCCTGGTCTCTGGGTAGTCTCAGTCATGGCACCAACCCCACCACTGGGTAGGGATCTCCTGGCAGGCTGGGCATCTGCAGGGCAGAGCCTATTTCTCATATCGGTATGCTCATGTAATGTCTCCAGAATGAATGAATGGCATGGCACTCAGTCCTTTCTGCCATCTGTCCACTATCCTTGAAGCAATGGGTCTCTGAGTTGTATAGTGTGGCCAGGACATAGCTTGCTGACCCCATACATGTCACACACCTACTTTCTGTCTTTCCTGAGGGTCATGGCTATCCAGGCATGGGGACCAAGGAGAAACTGGAATCGAGATTTATAGGCAATGGTAGGGGTGGTTTCCTAGAGCCCTGCCTGCTGCTGGCAGTACTCCATCTCTTCTTGGTCCTGTGCACACTATGTGCATGTGGGTGAGAGCACGTGGCAGGGTGTGTGTGCACACGTGTATATGTGTCTGTACTCTCTTATGCCGAGGGAGATGGTAACAACACAGTGTATGCAGTGATACCAGGGGCATGTGTGTTTGCATTCCATGTGTACCCAGGCATGCTTGCTGGCATGTGTGCGTGGACACTGTAGCCGGTACCTGGAGCTGCCAGTCCCCTTCCTGCCTGACAAGTCTCAGGATTGTGGAGGCTAAATCAAGCTGTGAGAGAAGGACATGGGAGGGGATCGGGCCATGCCCAGGGGCGGGCAGAGTCTGTGATGACCCTACATCATTGGCTGTTTCCAGGTTCTCCACCAGGCCAGCCCCTTGCTTTCAGGGATGTGTGAGAGTAGACAGGTCTTTGCTGTATGTGGAGGGCAAAATGAAGACAAAAACCCAGATCTGGGATGAAACATGGTTTTTCCCTCAGCCCCTAGGCAGGGAGGCACAGGCAGGGTAGGACCAGCTTCAATGTTTTGGTTTCAACCTCTAGCTGCCCACTGGGCAGGGGGTAGTAACACCAGCTGAATGCCGTACTCTCAGCTCTTCCAGGGCATGAACTGGGCCAAAACTGAGCTCTGTTCCTACCCCCACTATTCAGAGCCAGACAGGCTCAAGAGACATGGCTTCTAGCCATCCCACTGGCTAGAGGGATGGCAGGAAGCCCTTCAGCATAGGTCAGAATTTGGGACAAGAGCAGAGGCACTTGGCATTGGCATTGCCCAGTAGCCTCTATGAGGGCTCTCCTGAGGAGGCCTGTGCCCTGGCCACCCTGCATGTAGGGGCATCTCAGGATTGGGAGGCCAGGGAGGAGAAGGGAGCCCAAAATTTATAGTTCAGGCTCCCACCAAAGCTAGAAAGTCAGAGTGGCAGTATAAGATATGAGCCTCAGTATCCACAGAACCTACAGAGCAGGTATAGCCTTATCTCCCAGCTCCAGTTGTGCCCCTGACCCAGGATCCAGGACTACCCCCCAGCTCCCTGCCCCAGGGTACCAAAGGCCAGCACTCCCATGCCCTTATACTCTGGCTGGTCAACAGAAGTTCCTGCTAATCCAGCACTGAGCTCCCACCAAGGTTCAGACTTTAGGAGATACCTGTATTACTAGGCCAGCTCCTCCAAGAAGCCCAGACTCTGACAGGGATCATCTCTTGGGGTCAACACCCCAGGCCTCCAGCCATCTTTGGAACTGCTTGGCTGTTGTCCATGTCACTGGCTCAGTCCCCAGAAGAGGGCCCCAAATGGGGGAGAGCAAGCAGTCTTTCCCTCTGGAGCTAGGGGAAGGGGCTGCCCTCCCCCCCAAACCCCCCACCCC